GAAATGATTGTGATACAGTATGCTCATCACTGAGCCTGCTCCACGGCACGACGTAGAGATATGCTCCATATCCCGAACATGAGAAGGGCGTGGCTGCGTACTCCATTTGAACGTGGTTTTGACTGTACTTTCGGTGGGATGTTGTCCTTTTGGGACTGAATCATAATCATGGTGATCAAGTTTTCTCCGATCACAAACCAGAACGACAGTTTTTTCGAATGAAGCTAACTCGATAGAAGCATCCTGCGCCATGTTTTAAGGAAACGCAATCACGCCCTCCCATTACCGAGATATGTACGGTTCAGCAGCTGAAGACATGGGGATTTTTCCCAAGGCTACACTCTTGCCTGCTGCGCGGCGTTTCAGGCTGGCTGGGTTTGGCGCGGCGCCAACTCGTCAATCACCAGAATGAGTAAAGCTGCGCCAAGCACATCAGGGAAACACACTGTCGGTCGGTGGTGGCGCTGCGTCCAACAGCCCCTGCTCTTTTGTCCCGTGGAGGCGGTTCGAATGGTCCGGACTTGCAATCGGTCCTTTTTATCTACCATATTTTTACACATCAGCATTCTGAACATTTTATTGTCCGAGAAAATCGATACCAGAACCAAATAAAAACATTTCAAAAATAACAAAAAATTACCGAACCGCTTAGATAAACAAGCAAACTGAACTGAAGGAACTGAAACATCACCGCTACTTTTTGAAAATCACACAATATTCCAAATCAGAACCGATTGAAGCGCTGCAATAGCCGATTCCCCGCCGCGCGTGCGCATGTGTTGAGCAAAATCACAGATGTCTGCGATAGGTTGACCCCTTTTGGCCCCATATTTAGGTTTTTGAATAGGTTTGTTGCTATGGTAAACCCATAACTTGCTGACAGTTGCAAATTAAATAGGTCACTACACGAGGCTGCGTCCATTTTGCCGCGCGGTGACCGCATTGAAACCTCATCTTCGCCGCTCTCATCCAGACGCATGCTATTTCGCCGGCTCGCATCTCTACATTTCCACGTCCAAAGAACGTAGCTAAGGCTGCGGTCCATACTTCGCATTTGAGTCGTTCTTCGCGCAAAAGATTTCAAAAAAGCTAAGCGAGCATGTGACGAATCACCTTCCACGCGAACCATCGAATGTGCTAAAGAGCGCCAACCAACACATCAGACGAACCGTTTTCGGCCGGTTCAGCGCATCAGAGATTACCGATGGAGAGAAGTTGGGCACAGTCGCGCGATTGGATCGCTCGAGTTGGCGAGTATGAAAGCGGACGGATCGGTTGCTGCGGACGCCACACGCTTAACCGCGCCGTAGCGCGGTGACCTCTTGCTACATACCTGGCAACGGTGGGGCAGAAACGGAGAGCGAGGCGGTCCTGCCAAAGTACGCGATTTTGCACAAAAATATTTTGAACCATGGTCACAAAAAAAAGGCGCTAAAGCCTTCAACGTTAATGCAATATGACGAAGCGGCAAGTTTTACTTCGTACAACTTTGAGAAAGCTGGCATGATTCATGGTTGAATGCTTGCTGGTGGGCAGTTGAGGTATGCTGCATGCGGTCGCGTCCGCGGTCGCTTTTGTAGCCAGTGCTTGGCGACAGCGAACCGTACACGCTCACCATCGATTAGAACAAGCCGCATCGCATCGCACGGATTCGGTCATCTGTCTACCAGCACTGCAGCTTATATCAATTTTTATTCAAGACGATCTATGGTGAGTAATGCTGCCTTTAGCAGCGTGATTAAAAGTCATCTAGACTAGAGAAACCGGCAATGTTAACAGCTACGCTGCTCAACGAATGGCCACAGTAGGAATATTAAGGCGCTGTGTAACAGGACAGGAGGGGGGAGGATGAGACTAGACCGAGCTCTTCTCTGCCTGTCACCGGAGTCAACTAACCGAACACAGCACTCGTCTTGTTGAGAGGGTGCTGACGAGCAGAGAAGGGGCTGTCCAAACCTCGTTACTGGCTGCCATCCCCTAGCTCAATGCCGATGTGAATAAAGCTAAGATTTGTAAAAATCATGTTTGGGACACTGTCAACAGCAGTTGATTCCAATCCGATGAGTGAAATTGTGGTTAACTCCGTCAGTGAAACTGTCGGAAAAAGACTCCTGAACCGGTTTCCGGAGCTCATCTAACATTCGAAAGCAGTAAATTCATAGCTACAGTATCTCTCCTCCCATACCGTACGGATCAAATCGACTGAGTGGAAACCATAAGGAAATCGTCTTTCTTCCACGCTTCAGGATCGTCTGGGTCCTCCTCGTCCTCGACGTAACCATTTGGCACCATTACGTCACGAATGTCATGACCTCTATGTTCGTTCTGCATTTCTACTCCGTTCTGTTTTACATCGACGACCTCGTCGAATTCGGGTTCATCAGATGGTTCGTCAACGACTTCGTCTTCTAGCACGGTATCAAGGCGATGACCAAGTTTGTGTTGTAGCTCTGCCAGTACTCGTTCCATATGTTCACTTCGTTGTTTCTCTTCTTCCAACATCCTGAAATCAATGCCCAATTGATTTACTAGCATCACCTTTTAAGGGGGAGGGGGGGGAGTAATTCAGGACGTGCTTCAGGCCTTAGCGAGAACATAAAAATCCCTTCCCTACTTCTTTAGGCTGCGTTCATACTTTGCAGCGTCCTCCAGCGACCAGCAGCGTCCAACAGCGACCAGCAGCGTCCAACAGCGACCAGCGTCTAAGCGTGAAGAATATGGTGGTGATAGGAGGGTAGCAGACAGCCGGCATCCCTCTTATCGCACCCATGCACTCTTCACCCTGCTACCTCCTATCTCCTATACTCTACCAGTTGTCTGCAACCCTTCTATCGCCTTATACTATCCACTCCTAGTCGCTAGATCGGTATGTGCATTTTCCTTCACTTCGGTTTCGAAGAACGCTGCTGCGTCGTTGTGTGGATCGCTGATCAGCGCTGTAAAACGCCGTTGGGAACGCTTGGTAGACGCTGCTGGTCACTAGATCAGTATCTACACTTCCTAAGTCGCTGACGTGCCGGGCGCTCGGAACGCTAGCGGTCGCTTCTGGACGCTGGTGGATGCTGCGGCAAAGTATGAACGCAGCCTTAGGCAACGTTCTCTCTCGTTTCATGAGGCATTTTCCATCGTCATTCCGCCCCCCCCCCTTCTCTGCCACAAACATCACCTCCTAGTCTCATCTTGAAATTGTCGCAATCCGTTAACCGTTTTGCTCCCCCCAGCCGTTTTTTTATTTGGGATCGTGTGAAGGCACCGCGCATAACGGAATGCAAATACTGTAAATACTACAACTGTACATTGAGGAACTTTTATTAGAGGGCGAGTTTGAGTCCTTCAGGGAGAGAAGGGGTTGTAATCGGCCCTCTGAGAAGAGTTTTATGTTTCTCTAATCGCCCTAGGGTTTTGGGGCTTCCCGGTGAAGCAGTGGCAAGGATCAAGTTGACGGCAGTGAACGTCTTGCACTAGTTTTTTGATGCTTTCCTCGAGTGAATCATCTCAAAGAGGAGGGATGATGGTGTAAAGGAAAGTTGTAGCACCTAGAACACGCACGGTACCTCTATCTCTTTGTTTTTTCTTTTTCTCTGGGATCCACGATCTCGCCCGTCCCTGAGGTCTGGATACTGGGTAATGGATCTGCCTGGGAGAAAAATACTGACTCTGCAGCCCCCACAATTTACTGACAATGAGTAGACCAGATGAGCAACTTGAGTGTCTGTAGACGTTCCGAAAATGTTTAGTCGAATGGAAGTCCCGAAGGATGTCAGGTCCACGCCTTATGTTTCCCTCATTGTATAACTGCGAATGAAGTACAGTGCACCCCACAAAATGAGTTTGATCAATTCTCAATAATTAATCCTTTTTATAAAAATCCCTGCGCTATGCAGTGAGCTGGAAACTACCAAATCCCAGCCGTAGTATAGTCGTAAAACCCATTTTTCAACAGAGGATGTAATGCCGCCGCCTGGTGAATAATGGCTTCCACGGGTATACTACGGTTGATAGCTTCTCAAGTGGGCATGTGTGAAACGGCGAATCCACGAACAAAACCTACTATACTACTGCCCCACTGCCCTTTCCCAGGTGAGCATCTCTTTGAGCGATTCAAATTGTTACAGTTCACCTATATTGAAGAGGGGTGACGGGTCAATGGTAGCCTTACTCTCACGGCTGAGGAACAGGGTCAGATGTCAAGAGAGAGAGGGCTTCCTGTGGCTCATGCCCTTGAAGGAGGGTCTCTCTTGTAGAAGACACGTATTTGGCCGCTGAAGAGAGAGGGGGTGGTACTTGATGAGATTTTTTAGGTCAACTTTGTTTTAAGAAAAAATTTATTTTCTCCATCTCGACGGCAGATTTTCGGGAAAGTCTGGGAAGATGGTAGGAAGGATTTGGAAGAGGGTCGTAGCAGAAGAGGAATTTCTTGAAGTAATGTTGTGCTTTTCCCACAGCCCACTTACGATTTTACCAAGATTTCCTAGAATCCTGCAGTCGAGTTAGGCGGGGAGGGGCAGAGTCCTCTCCCCATCAACTATCAGAATTGTCAGTCACGCCCGCCAAGGAGGTGTATAGTGCGTGTGGAACGGGAAAACTCAAAAATCAGAAACCAGTTTATTTTGAACCTAAAATTGGACCTCCTCCCTTTGCGACTAAACAGACTCCTGGTGGGATTCGCACTATGATGTCCCCTCCACACTGGCTAATTGTCGAACCGCTCACGAAGTTTGAGTGTAGGTGCTAGAGGAAGATGGTATTGAAGGACCTGTAGCAGCTGTAATTGCAGCGAATTCGGCCTGCTAAGGGGGAGATTCCACATACGCCATGGCGTGTCCCGTTTTGGAATGTCCTATGGTAGGGTCTAATTCTGGGAATATAATGGTTCACTCACCTGGTAGCGAGACCTCGCACTATTTCCTCGTCCTTGAGCGCCAATCGCTCTTGTTCTAACTCGAATTCCAATCGTCGTTTTTCAGTCTCCAACTGTATTCGCTCATGAACTTCTCGATCTAGGCGACGGCCTGCAATAGGACTGTCATTAATCAGACTGGCTCAGTAGAAGCGACGAGCAAACCCACCATCGTATCGCAAGGATCGCCGCTGATCGAACTCTTGCAGCGCTGATCGCGTTGGACGCTCGATAGCAAGTCGGATATCTGGAAAGTAATTTGAAAGTTCAGTGCCAGTCTGGCAACCTGCTGAAAGCTGGTTAGACGGTACGCTGTAAAAAGCCCTCTGCAGGCGAGCGGGTCGAAATGGGCGAATTGTATCGTTTGTTTGCCGGATTGCAGTTCCCACACCATTCGATCGCCTTGTAGTGCGCCGTCCTGAAAAGCAGCAATGTGAGGGCCGATGCCAAACCGAATCAGGCAAACAAGGAAAAAACTTTCATACTCACAAGAGACGTCGTGCTTGTTGGTCGATACGCCCGCGGTATCGTAAGGCGATTCTCTGCATTGATAGGTTTGTCCAATGGCCAAACATAGACAACACCAGGATTGATCGTACACCAACCACTTTGCCAGTTATTCCTGCGAAGGCGCATGCAACTTCTCCCACCTCCGGGGCAGCGGAATAGCAGAAAACCCTGGAATTATTGAAGAATTATAACTTTCCGACGGTATTGCTTTTCTTGAACAGGTGCACCCAAAGACGCTTTCATGGCTCTCTCCCCTTGATGGTGCCAGACAGTGATGGATTTGGGTGCTTATAGGCAGTACCACTTGCACGGTTTCCGATCACAGCGAATGTAGGCAATGAGGCATCGTTGTGCAATCACATCGGGGGTTATAATTGGCCGAGGGCACACCATCGTTGGATTAATCGCATGGGGATCGTGCTTGATTCCTAGGGAGGGGTCGTATTTGGTCAAGTGGGATCGTATATGGCCCCGATACGAGTTTTTTCGAGACGCGCTAAAATCTTTCCCGGTTGTCGACTTTTTTGGTTTTTCCGTTTTCTTTGCGTTACGCCCCTCTCCCACCTTAGGAAAACTAGAGACGTTTCTGGAAAAACGGAAGGAAGCTGGGAAAACCTTGGGAAGATGGTAGATGGGATGGATATGGGCATGGACGTCATAGCAGAGGCGCATTTTCTAGAGGATTGAATGATACCATTATTTAACACGTCACGATGCTGTGCCATAGAAGGAAGACGTTGTTGACGCAGTCGGGAGCCCATCTGATTCCGGGACCCCCATACCGCAGGTCTCCCGAAGAAGATGGGTGGCAGGTTTCCCGCTTGGGTCATCCAACCGCATCGGGTTGTCGCCGCATACCGTAGTCATTATTGAGGTAGTGCCAAGGCCCACCTCAATATAGGGAAGAAACACCGTGCGCTGGGGCCCTTGGAAGATCATGTCTTGTGAAAATCCAACACAGGCCATAGACATTTAGAAATTGGGGCGGGATTCCGCTTGGTGGGGCATTTTGCTGGTTCTCATCGATCACTTCTGATGCCTCCTGTGGAATCCTGTAAATTCCTCTAAAGCTATGCAATAACAGGAGTTTCGTTCACACTTAACAAGAGTCAGCAATTGTCATCAAGGAACTGTGGAGGATCCAGCGACAGACAACTATGAAAAGCGCTAAATGCCTCTCTAAGCCGAACACCACTAAAACCAGAACATTCCATTCT